ATCGAAAAACACACAAACGACTCGAATTAACAAAAAAAATACACAATAAAACATTACGCACGAATAATAAAATAAATGACATAAAATAGAATAAAAATAAAGACGAAACAATAATAAAAATCATGACAAAAATAGTACAAACAAGTTCACGCTACCACCGCTATCGATCCTCTCGAGGTGAGTTTAGCCTCGGGACGAAAGATAGTGACCTCAGCTAAAGCTTCAGATCTTAGCCTCTCCATCGGTGGCCGAGTATTGTCTACCGACGCGTATGTTCTCGAGATGCGGGACTTCGACCTTATTCCCAGAATGGATTGGCTATCCTTTTATCATGCAGATATCCGATGTCATGACCGGGAGATTACTCTTTATCTTCCGAAAGACGATTCGATTACCTTCTTTGGCAGCAAGAATCGTTCATTACCTCATGTCGTTTCAATGGCGAAAGCTACCAAGTTGCTGCGACGAGGCAACTGCCAGGGTTATCTGGTGAGCCTTGTCGATGATTCTCAGAAAGCATGATCACCTCACGATGTTCCAGTGGTTCGTGAGTTTGTGGACGTGTTCCCAGACGAGCTTCCAAGAGGACCGCCTAACCGGCAAGTGGAGTTCTCTATTGATCTCATTCCAGGAGCCGGCCCAGTGTCCAAAGCCCCATACCGTATGGCGCCGAAGGAGTTGCAGGAGCTTAAGCCGCAGATTCAGGAGTTATTACGACTCGGTTTCATCCGACCGAGCGTGTCACCTTGGGGAGCACCAGTTCTCTTTGTCAAGAAGAAGGACGGTTCCATGCGCATGTGTATCGACTACCGGGATCTTAACCGGTTGACGATCAAGAACAAGTATCCGCTTCCCAGGATCGACGACTTATTTGATCAGCTGAGGGGAGCCTGTGTGTTTTCAAAGATTGATTTACGATCAGGCTACCACCAGCTGAGGATTAAGGAGTCAGATATCGCTAAGACCGCTTTCAGGACTCGTTACGGCCATTACGAGTTCGTCGTCATGCCATTCGGCCTCAGTAATGCTCCAGCGGTTTTCATGGACCTGATGAACCATATTTTCCATCCCTATCTCGATCATTTTGTCATTGTCTTTATCGACGATATTCTTATGTACTCGAAGAGCCAGAAGGAGCACGAGGAGCATCTGAGGGTGGTTCTCGAAACCCTCAGACGAGAACAGTTGTTTGCAAAATTCTCCAAATGCGAGTTCTGGCTCCAGCAAGTAGCTTTTCTGGGTCATGTGATTACTCAGGCAGGTATCGAGGTGTATCCTTCTAAGGTCTCAGCTGTTCAGAACTGGTCGACACCGAAGAGTCCATCCGAGGTTCGCAGTTTTCTCGGTTTAGCTGGCTATTATCGCAGGTTTATCGAGGGCTTTTCTAAGATTGCCCTCCCACTATCCCAGCTGACGAGGAAATCTGTGAAGTTCGAGTGGACTGACCGATGTGAGTCGAGCTTTCATGAGCTCAAAAGGAGATTAACTTCAGCCCCGGTGTTGACTATTCCCGATCCTTCTCGGAGTTTCACCATTTTCAGCGATGCTTCGAAACAGGGTTTGGGATGCGTTCTTATGCAGGATGGCCAGGTCATCGCGTATGCTTCACGTCAGCTCAAGCCACACGAACAGAACTATTCGACGCACGA